TAATATAATGATAGTGATAATAAAAATGATGATGATAATAACAGCAATGATAATGACACTGATAGTGATAATCGTTATAATAAAAACGATAATAATGATAAGAAAATGTGCCTTATGTGTTTTATTCCCTAAAGTTTACATTGTCTACCATCCACCCATTTTACATCAAATTGAAGCGACTTGAACTTTGCAGTTACATGAAATATACTTACAAAATGTAATTTTAGGCGTAACACACTTCAAAGGATGAACTTCAAGTCCACAGTCACATGCAATCATCATAGCGTGTCACTCCAGACAGCCAGCCATTCCATAGTTCTTTGGTATACTATGACTAGATCAGTGTTGACTAGATTAGGAGAGTGGACACGATCGTAAAATGTGGTCAATAGATTGGATGCGTTCTCCACACTCGCATGCTGGACAGATCTTCAGGCTCCATTTGACCATATTGCCCCCAGTTCTTACGACCCCAGCTCTTGCTCTGTTGAGTGCAGACCAGTCATGCCTGGGAAGCTGAGCACCGTCTGGAAACTCTTCTTTTGGCTCCTGAACTGCAGGATTGGGAGCTCTGGTATCTAACTCCTTCCACTTATCCACTCTGTGCTTTTGGGCAGATGTACCTGTGTCACTTGTAATAAATTTTAGGAATGCGGCATCAAGCGTAATGTGCGGACGGACGGACGGACGAACTTCCAGCCCACAGAAATAAATTTTAGGAATGCGGCATCAAGCGCAATGTGCGAACGGACGGACGGACGAACTTCCAGTCCACAGAAATAAATTCTAGGAATGCAGCATCAAGCGTAATGTGCGAACGGACGGACGGACAAAACACAAGCACAATATAGATTGATATAAGGCATAGTACACTTTATACCAAAATAATTCAATAATGAAAGATGTTGTGAGGAAATTGATTTATACTAAATCAGCCCCACAAATAAACAGCACTGCCAATAATAAGAGAAAAACGGCATCCAGACTTAACAAGATAGAACCTTACTGTGCGTCAGATGAGAGAGAAGCAGCATCTCGAGGCCGGAAATTTCTCAAGGACGGTGTTGGAGAGATCAGACCGGTGGCATTTCTCATTCAGCCGGTTGCCTGAACGAAAGAAGGAATTGTTGAAAGAGGGACATGTTATAATTATTGTTTATACATCTTATTTTCTTCGAATGATGTGATTGTATAGGGAGATACGGGCACCAAAAATAAGCTAAGTGTGTGTGTGTGTGTGTGTGTGTGTGTGTGCGTGCGAGCGCTCGTTGCCCTACTTTTGGTGAACATGTATATAGGGTTTTATAAATCAAAGATATAGTTAAAATTCTAAATCAATTAAATTCTATATCAGAACTCAAAATTTAAATTGCAAATCTTGGTAGCCGCCCTGGGAATACATCCCAGGAATTACTCTATTCTAGCCTCAATATTATCTAACTGAACATTTATACTAATTATTCTGTCAGAGGCTAGGCTCTTTTTGTCTTAAACTAATGTAGGCTTATTTATTAATTAGTCAAGGTAAATATCAGTGTCATGGTACTGGAAGTGAGAGAAATCCATAAAACTACAAAAATATATATCATAAAAGAAAATAGGGATATATTTACTCGTGGACAGAGCATCACATTACAAAATTATCACGTTACTCTGTATTACCATTATAATGGACATTCAATCGAATACTGAGTAAGCAAACTCAACATAACTCGGAAAGTACAACAAACAATAAATATATAAATGAATACAAGCTCCCTTACAAGATCAAATATACTCATTAGAGGATTACATCATTAACCAAGACAGATAATGGCCATAACGAAATCCGGGGAGTCAATTTAGCTTAAAATTAACACAATGCCCGGAGCTATCTTCATGGCGTTCCTCCGGCCGCTTCACCAGTTCCCCTCAAACCGCTCTCTAATTGTTCCGAGTTCTGGTGCAGTCTGCTTTCCGCCCTGCTCTCCATCGAAGTCAAAAGGAGATTGATATTACTACCATGCCCCTTTCATGCCGTGAGATTTCGTGCAATTTCGAAAAAAGGACGATCGTCAGCAAGTAACCTGCTCTCCCTTGAAGACAAAGGGAGAGAGAGCGAAGCGTCGAGTGGTTGCTTAAACGAGGATCTCAGAACCGTATGATTACCAATATTTATCAATATTAATACATGAATAAATAAAAACTCATAAATGCTGTTTCCCTAGTGAATTTATGTAAACCACGTTGAAAGACTACCACATAATTCAACCAATGACATGATCCAAAATGGCCATTACTTATATATGTGTGTTGTGCGTGCGTGCATGTCTATATATGTTGCGCACGTGTGTATGTATAAATATGATGTAAACAATATCGCTCTACACATCTGTCCCTGGGTGAAACAAAGGATGCTCCTTCCTGACGAAGTCCTCTCGAGTCTATAACAACACAGGAAGCAGCTCCTTCGCACGCCTTCCACTCCCGAGCCGAGTTGACCCAGAGACAACTAGGCAGCTGCGGCCACTACCAAGTCCTCGGCTGGGAGAAGGGGTCTCTTTGGGGTCTCACATCTACCTGCCACAATAAACCCACAAGTCAAAACCCCTTTCATTCACCTGCACTAAGACCACTACCATCTTATTCATATTTGATGACAGCGCTCTTCCCTTCACATCTGAATAGTCCTGGGGCTTGGTTTGTGAATTAAAACGAAGACTTTCCAAATGCATTTTACATGAATGTAACAAATATCGGTACAAAATCACCAGACACTGTATAAGCGAGAAAATCAGTAATCAAAATAAACAAATTATGCAACACAATATATTGATATGAGTGCCAACCTTATCTCTTGTAAACAGTCACCTAAAAAATATTCCTTTTATGATAGCATGCAAGATACCACAAACTACTTGACAGCTATATTAATATGCACTCAATTTTTTAAATATAAAAGTAACTTTGTTTATGCAAGCGTTTACAGGAGACAAAAATATATGACAACCATGTTACCATCCACTCATAACTGTGCTATCCGTGTCATTGCTAAATCATTATTACCAAACAAACTAAATTACAAACCATATCAACACATGGAAAGTCAATACTGCACAGCTGCCCCAAAGACTCCCGAACTCGACACAGAATCAGTTGCAAAAAAAAAAATCGCCATTCAAATAAAACACATAACGCTGGTGGCCCCTCAAGTTTCTGTTCTTACCCTATCACAACTAATTTGTTTCCTTATAATAACATCCGTCTTTACGATTCACGACAATATAAACTGTTAGCAAAACCAACCTATTACTGCTGGCAATTACTGCAAACTTCAAAATAAAGAAAAAATCGTCAAACATTTCGAGCTTCTTGGCGTCGGTGCGAGAGGGTCCCACGAGGCGCCAGCGGAAGCGCGCGACATTCAAATATGCCACTCTGTCTTATATGCACGTGTGTGTGTGTGTGTGTGTGTGTGTGTGTGTGTGTGTGTGTGTGTGTGTGTGTGTGTGTGTGTGTGTGTGTGTGTGTGTGTGTGTGTGTGGGTGCGTGCGTGTGCGTGTGCGTGTGCGTGTGCGTGTGCGTGTGTGTGGATGTGTGGGTGTGTGTGTAGAGAGAGAGAGAGAATATACAAATATAGGCCCATGTGTGTGTGCGTGCATAAACATACATATATACATACATATGTGTATGTGTACATACATACATACACACACACACACACACACACACACACACACACACACACACACACACACACACACACACACACACGCACACACACACACACACACACACACACACATATATATATATATATATATATATATATATATATATATATATATATAGAGAGAGAGAGAGAGAGAGAGAGAGAGAGAGAGAGAGAGAGAGAGAGAGAGAGAGGGGGGGGGGGGAGAGGGAGAGAGAGATTGCTAGGTAGAAGAGTGGAAATGAGACGAAAAGAGGGAGACAGAAAAAAAACATCTTTCTTGCCACTAACACTTGCTTACATTCCATCCTAGATCTTTCGCCAGAGCATGACTGTTCACCATAGACCACAACCCTTTCGGAACAGGAAGTAGAGCATAGGAAGCTCGACACACAGAAAGAAAATTAACAATTTTTATTGTTACTCGACTCGAACTACCAACCATCAACGTACATCATTTAAAAACTCGATCATTTACACAAGTTACTGTACCAAAATCCATACTTACAGTTGAATTTCACCCTCCTAACTCTGTAAATAGTAATGCCAATAGTTTTTGATGGGTTGACAGCCGCCATTAACCAGAATTTCACATAAAATCACAATAACAAGAAAGTCTTGTCTGCTTCTGTTCCACAGCAAATTCCGTTCCACATACGGAAATTTTTAACTTCTCAGGATCATTTCATTTGTTTTTGCTTTTTTTTTGGGGGGGGGGGCGTGATACAGTGCCATGATCAACGAATAATATTTAAAGGTTGAAAAGAAATTCGGGACTTAAAATAATATTAAAGATCAAGATTATATACTTGTGGCGGAGAAGAAAAACCACCTACCTTTACTAACGGGTCTGCTCTTTAAGATAATAGCAGTAATGATAATAGTGATAAATAAATCATAGATATTAAGAAAATAAAAAAGAAATAACTTGCGGGACAGTAAGTGTGAATATACACCTTTTTGGAGTTCAGAATGACTGTTACTTACTCCTCATCCCTTATTTAGATTATTAGATATATGGACAAATTAGCGACCAAAAAAAAAAAAAATGCCATTTAGTGATCCCGTGAACAACTTTCAAAACACCAATACGTTACTCGTCGTCTCTCGTGTTCCTTTGACGCCGAACGTGTTGCGGACAAGCAGTTCTCGGTGGAAAAAAGTTGTTTATTTTATATTCACTCCCGATATTGGCAATTTATTATTATTGTTATTATCGTTATTTTAGAATGAATTTAAGTAGAAGGTTGTTACCGATTCACGTGTATGTCCGGGTGAGTAAAGTCGTGCAATAATATAGTATTATATCGCTAGCACGTATTTTGGGTTAATTGTTGGTCTTTTTACTTAATTTGTTGATTCTTTGTCTGTTAAAATAGAGTGTGGTTTATTAGATGTAAATTATGCCCAGTGCCCTGCATGGTAAAGCTGTCTATTCAGTAAATTAGTGAATGTGTAGACTAAACTGTTTACTTGACACTGGCACTGTGCATTTGAATTAAGTATAATCATTAAAAAATATATATAGATAGATAGATAGATATTTGCCAGTATTTGTCTTGTTGTGATGCTGTATATGCATCTCTTATATCACTAACGGGTCCTGCATTATATATATATATATATATATATATATATATATATATATATATATATATATATATATATATATATATATATATATATATATATATATATATTTATACTGTATATATATATATCTATATATATATATATATATATATCTATATATATATATATATCTATATATATATATATAATATATATATATATATCTATATATATATATATCTATATATATATATATAGAGAGAGAGAGAGAGGGGGGGGGGGGGGGCGTGATACAGTGCCATGATCAACGAATAATATTTAAAGGTTGAAAAGAAATTCGGGACTTAAAATAATATTAAAGATCAAGATTATATACTTGTGGCGGAGAAGAAAAACCACCTACCTTTACTAACGGGTCTGCTCTTTAAGATAATAGCAGTAATGATAATAGTGATAAATAAATCATAGATATTAAGAAAATAAAAAAGAAATAACTTGCGGGACAGTAAGTGTGAATATACACCTTTTTGGAGTTCAGAATGACTGTTACTTACTCCTCATCCCTTATTTAGATTATTAGATATATGGACAAATTAGCGACCAAAGAAAGAAAAAAAATATTTTTATTATCATTATTGAAGTTAACAGTGTTATAGTAATGATAAGATTAGTGATGATGATAATAATAATAACGATCATAAGTATAATAGATGAAAGTTGTTCCCCCCCCCTAAATTTAAGGACTGAGGTAAAGAGGCGAGGTCAGATAGGCCTAGTAATCAACTTTTTGGTGGCTAAGTATATGTAAAACCATCTATATGGAAACAGAATTGACAGTGGATTGGATACTAGTAAGTTAAAGGGCTATTTTTAGTTCATTCTGTCTCCACACAGTTCTCATTTCAAGATATGTATAGGTAGTATCATCAAATCATTGGGGAACTAACGCCAGCAGGGGCACATAGCTGCATCCACCCTTCATTTCCACTTACGAGGGTCCCTCATGGCGAGCCACCAGTTTGATCAATCTGTCAAGACATGACTTAATAGGTCATCTCATAGGCCTTCTCCCCACCAGGTTGTCTCGAACAGAGACAACCTGGTGGGCAGGATCACCTTGTGGGAAATATTGCCTGAGTTGGTGATCACGGATTGTGCAAGTAACCAGTCCTGTACCAGTCTCAAGGTGAACACATGGTCCCACCAACCCCATGATTTGGTGCAAGAACCCGTTACAAAAGGCATCAAGAAGAAATTCCAAAGCACAAGATAGCATCTAGGTTTCACTACTGTATAGTAAAACTGACAGTGTCAGGGCCTTGAAGACATGTAGCAGGTACCAGCATCTCCAAGTACTCTTGTCGAGAGATTTCAGGACCCCTGCTGCCAAGCCAATCCATCTATTGAAATCCTGGTCTGACAGCCCGAAGTCATGAACTGCATAACCAAGGGATATAAAACTCTTAGTGACCTCATTGTTCTCACCACAAGCACATACCGATTGAACAGTCTCCTAGCAGCCCCCTAAAGTCCTGGATCTTAGTCTTGGCCCAGGAAACCTCTAGCCCCAGGGGCTTCTCTTCATTGCTAAATGCATCAGGAGCCACCTCAAGGATTCCAGAGTTTCAGAAAGAATAGCAACATCAGCAAAGTCAAGGTCTGTAACCTTGATATTGCCCAGAGTTGCTCCATAGTGACCTTGGACAGTTGCTCTAAAAGTGGTGGTGTTGAAAAGTGGTGGTGCAAGAACAGAGCCTTGCCTCACTCCTGAACTAACAGGGAAGAAGCTTGACAGGCTCCCACCACACTTTACAGCACTTTCAGTATGAGTATACAGGCTTACTATTAATCCGATAATCCTTGTTGGAATTCCTCTTAGTCTCAGGATCTTTGGGTAGTATAAACCACAAATTTCTTAAAATGAGAATCGGTGTGATGTTAACCCATTGCCGACGGGGATGGCATGTACGTAGATGCCATGCCCACTGTGAGTCGACTTGTTCGATTGTTTTTCCACATAGATGACTACACTTGTACTAAGTATCCAATGAGCCAATTACAGTACTGCCTGTCTCGCCGGTTCACTCTTTTCGTTGATTTACGAAAATATTTAATGTTATCCTAATTTGCTGTTAAAAATAACACCATCTATATTTATAGCACTAGTAAGAATACGTTTTTTCCCGCCAATTCAAGGAAAGGTGAAATCAGGACTAGCAGAGCCATCTATAGACAGA